ATAACCTATAGCCAGTGTCAGCATTTCAACCTTTTGCCCTGGAGTCTCATCAGTAGGCTCCAGGTTTGGCTTTCCCTCTTTTTGGCTGTGTAACCTTGATAAGGCATACCTAGCCTAAGTCTCAGTCACTTCGTCCTTAGGATTGGGATAATTAAGGAGACTGTTGAGATTTAACAAAACAATGCATTTAACAGCCAAAGAGGGCTCACGGCTGCTGTGAGTTCCAATCTGAGCAAATGTTCCAACGATAAAACATGCGAACATGGTGTTCTTTCAAGCTATCCTCTAGTCCCCCAACTCAGTGACTTCAAGAGTAACAAGGCTGCTGGAGGCTCATACAGAATGATTCTTGGACTATCACTAGCGTGGTTCTCCCTCTCTATCTCACCTGTCACTCCATCACTTGCACGTCAGTGCTTGTGAGTCACCTAATAGAAACATCTTTCCATCGGTTAAGGGAAAAATACAGAGTGTAATATATGATTTTTTTTTCTAATGAGCAGTGACAATCCTGATAGATAGGGAAGAAGTGGGGAGAAGTGTGTGGTCATGAGGTTGTTAAGGAGAGAAGAACAAGCATGCATGGGAAGCTGAGCAGAGGATGGTAGACGCGAGAGTCAGCAAAGACTCGGGCAAGCTAGAGAGACAATGACAGGGAGATGGAAAGTAATGGGGAGAAATACCACTGATAGATTTATTATATCTCGTAACAGCCTTTCATGAAGCACTCTAAAACATCCATTAGTATGCGATTAACACGGCATAAGAAAAAAATTAAACAAGCCATCACTTTCATGTGCCGAGCTGACCCCTTAGTCCCCTAGGGTCATCAATGAAGTAGTCAGACAACATGCTCCCAATAGGATTTTCCCATCCAGATGAAGTACGCCCATTGAGCTTACTAACTAACTAACACATAAGTAGCTTCAAGGTTCTGCCTGCATTTGGTCCTCAATTTAGCTAGGGCTACAAACCTACCTGTAAAGAGATTCCACCCTCTTCTGCTATAGGGAAGAGAAGCTCTGTCAAGCATATATCCTGCTATTTTGAAGGCATCCCTGTTTCTAAAAGCACCCACAGCATTAAGTCTTTGCCTGGACTGGTACATACATCCCCCATGCTCAAAGAACGATGGGCAGTCACCCTTCATCCTGCCACCTGCCTGTGTTCCTGTTAGGGCTGTTTTCGTTTAACTTCTAGTCCAGCCTTTGGATGCTGGAGAGGGTTCTACAGTGTGTTGATGCCTCAAGAACAAGAGCTGTCTCACTAATAGTTTCTGGCTTGGGAGGATAACGCTTAGAAAGAAAGTTAATCACGGGAATTAAACACAGCTTGTTTCTTTTTGAAGTATATTTTTTCCTGCCCCAGGGAGGGTGATTTACAGACACATTTGTCTCTCTTTAGAGAAAATTAATTCCAGTTGGCGTTCCAGGCAGAGATGAAGAGAAGAAAGAAAGAAGAGGCTTCTTCCTTGTCCTTCACACCCGCAGTGGACCCACACTGCTCTCCCTGATATGCCATGCCAGTGGGGTGTGGCTGAGTCCTCACACTTCCTGATACATATAAAACACATCAGTCAAACTTCTAGTATCATCTTCAAGGCACCTTCATCTTTTAGGCAAAACAAATGCTTAAAGAAAAACATTTGGGTAGGAATAAAGCACACGGGTAGAGGGCTGGCTTATCATGCTCAAAGTTTGATTTATTTCCCTGGGAACACACACATACATACATACACTCACACATATACCCAGCCAAAATAGCTCAACAGAACAGGCAGTGCTATAGACCAGCAATGAGCAAGCTGAGCGTCTGCTCACACCTCCAGCCCAGTCTGCATGCCAAGGGCCGTAGGCTTTGATCCCTAATGGAGGCATCAAGTCACTCCACAGTCACTCCATTTTAAATATCTAAGAAGGACTATCTAATTAAACACTCAGACTGTGCTATGTAGTAGGTACCACTCTCGTTTCCAGACTCTCTTCGACCAATGCCAGGGCTCTGAACAGTGGCTGCAGACCCTTTCCTTTCTTTCCTGGTACATGAATGTAAAGGGTGCTCTGTCCCACACTGAGGCAACGAAAAGCAGAAAAACATTTCTTGAGCTTACCCACTATTCTTCAAGGCGGAATCTACAAATGTGGTGGTGTTATTTGTGGTGAATCCCTAAGAAGCAAGTGGACATCCAGAAAAGAGAGGACTTTCAATTAACAGTTTGACAAAGCGCCGGAGAGAGGCAGGGAGGGTTGATATTATGTTCAAACTGCAGGGACATGGGGATCCTGTAAGACTGAGTCCGAGTGACTGCTGCTGAACTTTTAATAAAACAAAGCAAAACAGCTGTGGGGATTGATTTCAAAACTAAACCCTGGGACTGCAAGATAAAACACTCGGCGAGGTTACTGACTGGGCTGGGACCATCCAGGAAGACCCAGCTCTCCAACAACCAGCCAGCCTTCCTCTATTCCATTGCGGGCCTCCAATCAGCAACTCAGAACCCGATTCTCCCTCAAGGCCTTAGAAGACAAACAGAACAGAACGTGAGACTGGAGGAATGGAGTATCGCTTCTCGGCATTCTTCCTTCTAAAGAGATATGTGACTTCTAGAGCAAGCATGTCCATCTTGTAGCCTGAGAGCTGCATGGGGCCAAATGAAGAATCATAAACATGCTTATCACATGAGATTTCTTATTTGCTCTTTGTTTGTTTGTTTCTGTCAGCCAGTTGCGCGGTTCTCAACTGTGAACTTTGGGCATGACCTAGTGTCACAGTGTCAAAAGGTTGGACATGCATGGACCGACCTACCCACAGTACTCTTCTGAAGCTGAGGCCACAAGGTTATTGCCCCCATACCTCCAGGCCCTTTCTGCCCTCCCACTCATGGAAGGCACAGGCTTCTTTAGGCATCCTAGTGGCAAGGAATATAGAAAGAACATTTTTCTTTTCCCACACACATTTGGAAATGACATGCATAAAACCACAAGGCACAAATAGATAGACAAGTCAAAAGTTTTGCTGCGGGATTTGGCAGCTTTTGCTGAGCATCGTGGTAACAGCATTGCCACTTCATTTGTTAGACGAGGAGTTACACACTGAGCAGACAAGCCTTCTGCTAGACGGGGAAACGTGTGGCTTCCGGTGTTACTATGAAAGTGACAAGGGTGTCACTTCCTGCACCTCTTCCAACTCGCCTCTGAAAATGTTCAAAAGGCAAGGGACAGCAGGAAATATTACTGATAGAGGAACTAAATGCAATGTGATACCAAGAAACTGAGTGTTAAAAAAAGGATAGAATGCTAAGCAATCTTCTCTGACAGCTTAGAAGAAGGGGAAAACAGACTCACGAAATTCCTTGTTCTGAGAACTTGCCATTCCCTAGGAATTTTGCCTGTTCTTCTCTTTCAGACCCTTAATGTGCACATCTGTGGACCACCTGCCTGGCATCCTTCCAGACCTTCCTCTGGCACCATCACTTGGACCTTCCTGTGAAGAGTCCTCATTCCAGAGTTAAGCCTTATGGCTCCGAGGATGACCGCCCCGGTGTGAGCCTTCCTCCCTGAGAGCATCTGGGTAAGGCCTTGCGCACTGGTCTTCAGTCTATTCCCTTAGCCCAAGTTATTGGTTCCCAAATAGGAAGGGGCCTAAAGCAATCCTCAGAGATTCAGGAACATGGATAGACTTACTGGTGAGTTAAACGTGCATTAGGGTGGAATGCAGGGACCATTTAATATGAAAGACACTTACGTGAGGATGAACCGAGACAAGATTCAGGGACAGACCAAGAGAGAGAAGCTAAGTCCTGATGAGAGAAACATGGAAGACCTTTTGCTGGCTGTGGTAATGACGGGGTAATTCTAAAGTCATTCAGGGTACAAGGTGGGATTGTGCAAAGGAGAGAAATTCTGCAGCTGGGAACTCTGCTCTTCAGTGTGGGAGGAGGCACACAGACTTCAGCCGAGAAGAGAAATGGAGAAGCCTGTGGTGGGGACCAGAGTTACAGGCTCAGCCAGACTCACAAGGTCTGAAGGAGCTGTATCCTAGCAGCAAGGAGCACACTTGGTACTCCAGACCTAGTTTTCAATGCCGATCTCCATGGACTGAGCCAGAGTCCCTAGAAAAATGGTGGATTCCAGGACCAGGGCAAAGGCTGGACAGGATGCTTCAGAGGCCATTGTGATAAAAGGGAAATGCTCAAAAATTATCAAACCTACCAGGAGACACAAGAGCAAGCCTGACAGGCCTTTCATCGAGCAGAATTAGAAGAAGCATCTAAACAAAAGTGATCGATTTTGACAGATCAGATAGAAATGTCAATGCCCTGGTGCCCATACGGAAATACACGAACACAGAGAAGAGACAGAAAGGATCAGCCCTGTGGGAAAACGAGGGATGATATCCGTACAGAAGCAGATGAGAAATGTACCATTTTAAAACCTCCCCATCATAATAGACATGTCTAATCAATCGATCTAGGGTTGCTCATGTGCTTGTAGATTACTTATGAATCACAGACAGAAGCAGGTGTGTTTACATGATGGAATCTAGCTGATGCCATCTTAAGCTAGCGATCAAGTTCTGTACCACCCTAGAGGTAAAGCGCCATTGTATGGCTCCTAGGGGGATGCCTGGAAAGCATACAGCTTTTTCTAGGTGGAACCCTCACTGAATCTGATCACTGAGGAGAGAATAAGACAAGTTTAGAATATGGAATGTACCACAGACACCTGGGCCCCACTTAAGATCATCAATATAAGAGGCAATAACAAAAGGGGAGGAGCACTGTGACATATTAATACGCCGCAGCCATCCCAATACGTGACCCCTCACTGATCTCAGATCAAAACATCGTTGCAGAGGATATTTGGGGGAATAACTGGTAAATTATGAAGACCGGATTGACATTGAACATAAACATCTATACATATGTTTGCTGTGACTGTCATCGTATAGTTCACTCATCTTGCTAGTCGGATCACACAAGAAAATAAGACATAACTCACCTCCCCGGTGACATAAAAGTCATTCTTCGCATACTCGGGGAACAAATGGAAAAACTGAACCAGCGCGCTGTGGAAGAAGAGAACATAGAAATTGATTGGAGAAGTGAGTCAGTGAGTGGCTAGCTATCTCACCTCATGGCAGGGGTGGGAGGGGCGGGGTTGAGGTGCAGGCAAATGGGCATGCACCCTAATGGGAGGAAGGTAGCACGATGCTGTGCGTTCCACTGATACACGGTTTTCAGTCCCAGGTAGTACTACATTCCACATGGATGGTCAGGCAAAGTGAACAGGTAGGTCAACACTGCCCTACAAAGAAGCATGGACACTGGACATCAACACTGGCGACGTACAAACCTGTTACTGCCAGGCAGGGTCACCTGACTGCTGAGGGGTTCTCGTGCCCATGGTGCCAGCTTCCACAAACTGCTTACCAACTTTTGTGTAAACCCTATGAGAATGCCATTTAGGCAGGCTTTGTGGAGAGGATTTAGGAAGTTCAGTTGCTTACAGCACACCCACTGTGAGTGACTATTTCTAGAAGAGCTTCCAGAATGCCAGTGCTTTAGTGAGAACACCAAAACCAAAAACCATGAGAAAGGAAAAGAGAGGGAAGGAGGAGAAGAAAACAACCAGAATCCCATGGCTACTTTAGTAAGCCAGGCTGAAATAAATTAAGCTGGTGGGAGTGTCACAGTAAGAAAAGACCAGTTGACTTTTAAATGTCTTTGCAAAAGTCATCCCAAAAACAAGAAAAAAAAAAAAAAACCATCATGAAACTCAGGCACTCTAGGAATGTCTTGACCTGGGCTGCAAGGCCTGAGAAAGCCAGGCAGAGCTTAGTCCCAGCTTCCTGCTGAGGGACTAAAAGCCATGAACCTTCCAGGGAAGATGAAAGGCAAGGAGGCTCTGAGAAGCCAGGAGTGGGAGAGAGTTCAAGGGTTACAGAGAGAAAAACTCAGTCATTGTGGCCACCACGATCCCTGCTAGACTTAATTTTCAAAGGCTCCATAAAAATCCGCTGTGGAACACTGCTGTGGGCTTCAGTGCATTCCCTCTGTTTGTTATTTATAGTAGCTTTGGGGAACTAAATTTGGGAGGCTGCATGTTGATAGTTTCCACGTTAGGGCTGGCAATGAGCTGGCTCTAGAGCAAGGGTAAAAATAGGAGTTCATTCTCCACCCTCCCCTCAGCAAACTTCAGGCTAAAAGGCTTTCCTTCCTCTCTTCCTGCTTGTTGGAATGGCACCAGCACATTAAGTGCAGCAAATTTTAAGTCTCCTGCCTTAACTTACAGCTTACTTCCTTGGTATTTGATGGGGAATGCTTAAGGCTAACAGGTTTAGCGAATAAAAGTCAAAGATTTCCAACTAAAACTGAAATTCAAATAAATAATAAATAATGTTTTCGTATGTCTAAATATTGTGTAGAACATATTGTGTATACGTGTGTATGTATGTGTGTTTTTACAAGTAAGTGAGTGTGTGTATGTGTGTGTTTGTGTGTGTGTAAGCCAGGGTTCTGTGTTGGCTTTCTTTTTCAACAGTTTCCACCTTTGAAAGATACTTATATATAAAGAAATATTGTTGAATCTCGAAACCTAAACTGAAGGAGATAATCTCCCATGCTACTTCTGGCTGGAAAGTGCCAGCATAGCTGAAGTTTCTGAAGCGAGAGCTCGCTCAAAGGACTCATTAATGTTTTTAGGTTCACAGTTACGGTCTTTCTGTGGACTACCTGTATCCTCAGAGTCTTTGGTAAATAGTTCTCACACAGCAGTTAATTATGAAAATAGCAAAGTCAGCAGGCAGAGCCATACACGCCTTCCACACTCAGCCACACTCAAGTCAAGCCCTGTTCCAATGGCATGGGGAGGTTCTGCTTAAAGTGAACCCAGACCGCATGTCTGCGAGCTCCTCAAAGCTTAGCGTAATATTAGTACATGTGACATGAATTTGTGTGTGATTTCTTCAGGTATGAATGTTACCTGGCACAGAAATCCTGTGTCATGAGGTGACTGGGCCAAGGACTTCCCTGATAGACAGGATTTCAGTGAAAGGCTATTTGGTCACAGAATCATACGTTATTGAGAGCGGGGGTGGTTGGGAGAACACTACTCCTCAGGTGACTTCTTGGAAAGGTCCTTTGGTGGATGTAGGGCAGAGACAGTGATGGAAGGATCGTGTGCAGCAGAGCCAGTGGACGTGATAGAATCTAGTCAGCTCTGGTAGAGAGGAAGCAGCATGAACTCCAGAGACCTCCAGGGGCTCAAGACTCAGCGGAAAAGGCTTGCCAGGGCTCCAGTGTGGAAGGCTTAGCCCTAAGGCTCAGAGATGGGGGCTTTGGGGAGGTAACTGGCTGGCAAGGGCTCTGTCTTTAGGAATGGTCAATCCACGTGGGGATTTACAGCTAAATGGGCTATTGGGAGATGAAAACATCAGGAGCTGGGGCCTCACGGGAAGAGGCGTGGCACCAACATGTCTCTCTGATAGGGTGTAATTTGCCTTGGCCTCTTCCTCTTTCTCATTCTTGACTTCTCCAGCTGGCAAGATGTGAGAAGAGCTTTGTGCTATCTCCATTCAGATCCTAGAAGGTAACCCCAGGCGCTCTACCAGGCCGTGAGCTCTGGGAGGGCAGGGGCTGTGTGCTGCCTGCTTCTATGTCACCAGCTCCAGGAATACATCTGGTGATCAAGGGAGACGGGGGGGGGGGGGGGGACAGCAGCGCAAGGCAAGAAATCCACATCAAAGTGAGCAAACTGACTACATTTCATTCACATTTTTCTAAACCGAGAGCCCCCGCTGTGGCTCAGCGGCACCCTGTATATATGTGTCTGAACGTGAGTGAAAAAGTTTCTTTCTGAACACAAAGAAAGCCAGTAGAAACATGGATGTTAAATGGCTCTTTAGGAGGACATTCCTTCCAGGCCAGGCACTGCGCACAGAAAAATAGAATTCCATCTTCGGGGGGAGGGTGGAATGGGGACTTTCAAAGGGAGCAGAAAGATCTGCTCTTTAAACCCCCAGTAGCCCATTTACTAGCTACAAAGCAACCTCCTTATTGCAAACACCCATCTGGCAAGCTGGAGAGAAGAATGCAGTCACAAAAGGAAACGAATAGTGTAAACTCTCAAGGAAACAGCTGAAATCAGTTTTCTGCACTACTCTTGATTAGCTATTTTCCAGTTCTGAGAGCCTGAAGCAAAGGGAACCGAAACAGCTATAAACAACGGCTGCTTTGAAATGCGTCCTCCTTCTACGTCATGCAAGAAGAGACGGACCACATGTCAGCAGTAAGCATCCACACACAGGGTCCACTGCTAGCTGGAAGCATTCTTGCTTGCAGCTTAGGGGGGTGGGGTGCTTTGCAAAACTCTGGCTTGCAAAGGGTGAGCACCTTTCTTTAATAGAGAGCCTCCGCCCTCAGGGCGTTTACTAGTTAAATAACGAAGTTAAAGATGGTTGTAGTGAGGGGTGCGGGTAGCTGTCCGACCAGGAGAACACACAGTGTAAATGTTGGTAATGGGTACTTGGGTGAGCTCCTGAGGACAGACACCACTGTCAGTGCCTCCGCAGGGAGAGATAGGTCCCTCTGGGAGATCAGTGAATACATCCCAAGGAACTATCATTCCTGGGCGCAGAGGTGTAAGGACCCAGTGATCCCTGATGGAAATGGAACACAAGTGTTAAAATCTTGAGGTGAGAGAACAGCCATATTATTTTCTGGGTCAGCAGAGGAAAAGAAAGAGATGTCCTTGGCAGGAAATAAAGACCAGGAAGCCAGCAAAAGCTCTGTCCCTCCGTCCTCTGTCTGATCTGCCTGGGAGAGAGAAAAGTAAGTGGGAAGCCTTTGTCCCTGATCAGATACACTTTCCCTTCGGAGTCCTGCTAAGTGCCAGGTCTGCTCACTGGGAAATCAGGAGGATAAGTGGGCAGGTGAGCCGGGCCATTGGGATTCTTCTACTAGATCCTCATGATGCATTGAAGGGTGCTCAGGAGCTCTGAAAGAATTCAGACTTGTCCTCTGCTAGCAATTTATAGCTTGGAAAAATGTGACCAAATGAGAAAGGTCAACTTAGTTTTTGAAAACATACTAAAAATAGATGTAAAGAATGCAAGAAATTGAAAGGAAATTTTATGTGTATATACTTTAAAAGCTCACAACTTTACATCCCTCCCCCTCCTTTTTTTTTTTTTTAAGTGAAAGACAAATGTTGTAAGATGAAGGGAGAAGGAGAAAGACTATTTTCAGCCTGGAAAAGTCATGAGGAAGCTACAGAATGAACTATACATCTAAAGCTACAAAAGGAACAATTGTGGAAAAGAAGACAACTACCTGGAAAAGATGTCATCTCCTGCCAAGCACAAAGTTAAATAGATTTTTAGAAACAACCAGAAACTTCTAGGACATCGGAGTGGATGGCTTGAGAAGGAGTCTTTGGTTGAAATGTGGGTTGCATCTCTACTGTCTCATAGGATATTGTTGAAAAACTACAATTGGTTATTTTAGCTCTGTTTACTTTGTCTGCTGACCATGTAAACAATGATCGATGATAAGGTAAGGAAGAGCAGAAGAAACTGTGTAATGTATGCACGTGCAAGCCACTATACACACACACACACACACACACACACAGAGAGAGAGAGAGAGAGACAGAGACAGAGACAGAGACAGAGAGAAATGTCTGCAAATTTTTACAAGTTGGACAATAAGAACCAATTGGTAGTGACTTTTCCTATTTTCACATTGCATGACATACCTGTACAAGTCTTGGGCAACATTATCCTCATTGACGGCGTATCCCTGGGCATTATCAGTGAAACTGAAGCCTGTGCCCACCTTAGGAGGAAATAAATGAAGATAAGCCTAAAGACTCATATTCCTTGAGGGCTTTCAGCTAGACCCAACACTGGGAGGTGGCCTGACTGATTCCAAAACCACACCTCTGACCTCAGACCTCTGCCATCACTCCATGTTATCACTGAGGCATTCTGCTTTCCTTTCCAAGGGAAAGCACACCGTCTGGCTCTTTGTTTCTATAAGTCTACATGAAAGATAAGGAATCCATTATTAAGCAACAACCTGTAAGACAGGGAACTCAAGCCAGCAGTGAAAAGCCACCAACCCAACCTGTATCCCAGTTGTTTGAGATGGAAGAGGGTCCAACAGTGTAACCTAAGCTAGCCTGGAGTTCATGATGTAGCTCAGGCTGGCCTTGAACTCACCATCCTATAGCCCCAAATTCCAAATGTGATTATAGGTGTGCTCTACCATGAATGGCTGCACAGTTTATAAGTTAAATTCCAATATAAAAAGGAAAAAAAAACTATCTATATTTTAGAAAATATATTGCTTAACAGTGAGGACCATAGTGAGAGCTCATTAAAACCTAGAAGGCATAGTTCTCCACACACTGGGGGCATGTGAACAATGACATGTTATCTTACTGAATACAGCAAGAAACTTCAGTACAGTGGCATGTGTAGTGATTGAAAGGGTAGGGGGAAACCCAGCCAACAGGATCATATCAGTTTCCTGACAGCCTTATAGAAACACCATTATGTATGCAGCCTGCTATTGACCAAAATCCCATCATTCAGCCATGACCATATGTAAGAAGAACGGGGACAGGAGGCCAGCACTGAAGTTTTGTAGTGTCCTGTGGTACTTACTGGATTATCAATGTAAAGCATGGAAAGGGTAGTGGTCCAAGGGAAGTCTCGGGAACGAACTGTCAAAACAGAAGAAGAGGCTGAGTTTTTAACAAAATAGTCCAGGTGAGGCAACTTTGCTCCAGACCCCAGCATACCCAGCTGAGCCCTCACCATCACTGGGCCTCTTTTCTGCTGTACCACACTTTCTGGATGACCAGCTCCCATCACCTTCACCCGTTCTCTTCTGCACTTTTGCCAAACACAGAAGTATCTACCACATATCTATGGACCAAAGTATGACAACAAAACCCCATGAAGAACTGACAGGAAAATGTCCTCTGTCTTATCCTAGGGAGGACCCCTATACTCAGAGTCTTGGATCCTCTTCCTCCACCTCAACGCTGAAGAAAATAACCACCCCACCAAAGCTGGCACAAAAGCTTTTACAGTGAGTCACAAATTCGTTCACACTCTGAATGCTGATCCAGGGAAAGGGAATTATCTTCCCACTGAGACAGGAATGGAGTCTGCCCTGAGACTCAGCCAGAGGCTCTTTCTGTAGCCCATCCTCCATCTCAGACTCACCCAGAGCGTCTTGCTTTCAAGGCATTGGCTCATTTAGGTGACGGACTCATAAAGCATTCTATTTCCATGGATAATGAGGGATATAATTCCACCATTAGGCCTGTGCAAGAGGGCTCACCCAAATAGTAATAAATACCAACTGTTTTTGCGGGCCAAGAATGCTTGAGTCAGCAGCTGGCTTGCAGAAAACAGCCTAGACTCTTTCGCCCACATTCGCAGGAGAAAGTAAGCCAGGCAGGACACTCATCCTGGTGTTTCTCCTCCTGGACAGACATTGCTATAAGGCTGGGTTTCTATGATCTGGAACTATTAAGCTATTCGTAGTGGTTCCTGTGTCAATTCTAAATTCATGTTAGAGCAGGTACAGGCTGGAAGAAGACTAATGGGAAAAGGAATCGAAGCTTCACTTACCAGTCATGTTGTTTGTTATAACGTAAGGCCCATGTTCTACAAAGAGACCAAACAAGGATGAACCTCCAGGACCACCCTGAAGCCAGAGGACTACTGGGGCATCCTCAGGCTGTATCTGGAGGGAGCAGAGAAGCCAGTAAGCAGAAATGTCCCAAGGCGGCAGAGTACACCCAAGTGCACAAAACCCCTGTCTTCCACATCCATGACAACATTCTAGAATGCCTCTGGCCCCAAGAGTCCCACTCTGCTATAAATTAAAGGTCGGTTGCCTTTTACTGTTTGGGATTTACATGTGCCCCAAATGCTGGTATCTTTCTGTGAAGTTGACAGCACCTTGCCATCTGCATGGCTTATCCTCCTAGAATAGTAAGGGAACCAAGTAACTCCTGTCTCTTCCTGTTTTCCCAGCCCCTCACACAAATAGAGGCATTGCCAAAGTCCAGGTAACTGTACTTCTCCTGTCAGGACACTGAGGACACTGTAGCAGAGGCAAAGCTAACTTATGAGAATGTCACTGGGAGTTGCAGTCAAGAATCTGGAGGAAGATATAGAGGGACATGACTTTCCTGTCATTTAAGATTTGACATGTTATGGGCCTTTTCTGAGTGTGCTCTTGGGAATGGCTATGGTCTTCAGAACAGCCTTGCTGTGAGAGGCTGCCTCCAGACCCGTTCCCAAATGCCTAGACATTTAGTGACATAGCAGACACCCGTGGAGCATTCAGACACAATACATGTAATTGGCTTTTATAAATGAAGAGACTGTAGGAAGTGCTGAAGCCCATAGTGAGGCTGGGCTTTTAACCTGCAGACCTGTACCCACAGTGACAAATCCCTGTACTAAACTCTCCAGATGCAAGGCCAGGCTTTGCTTGTCCCCAGCTGGGTGATTTGGGACAAGATGCATTGGCACCATTGTCCACAATGTACAGGAAAGAGGGACTCACTTTGCATAATACCTGGCGAGTGGCTGCGATACGTGCTCTGCAGTCACTAGCTACCACTGTGAAGGATGAACACTCAGAATTCAGAGGGGATCTACACTCAAAGCCTCTACAACAGAAGAGTAGGAAAGTGTTCTGCTTGGTGGCTTCTCTTTGATCCTTTGGCTCTTATCATCCCTGGCCTATTTTTCATCCCTTTATCGTCCTGCCTCAAATGTTGACATGCCATAAACAAATCTGGTAGGTGAGGGGGCTTCTCAGTCAGGTCAAAGCAGAAAACACGCAAATGAGAGCAGTGTCAGAGCTGCTGCGAGGGAGCACTGGTGGCCTGGCTCTGTTTCCTCCGGCCGCAGCTGCCTCACCTTTCCCACGGAAGCAGTACAAGCCTTACTGGATGCTCTGGTGAAGGACTGTGAGGAGGCTGCTGTGTTCCCTGTTCCACCTTTCCTGGAACCACCGTGTGCTTTCCTTAGACATGTGGGTAAACTGCTTAGCAGACTCTGTCACTCACCAGGACCCACCCCCTGTACTTTCATTCACCCAGGAGTGGGAGCAAACTCCACACAAGGGGTAGGAAAACCAGGGGAACAGGAAGAAAGTCATCCCCATTCTTTCCAGCCTTCTGGGGGTATGGGGTGCCGGAGTACACAGACTTCAGGATACTCAACCCTCGGCCCCCCGCCCAGGTTCCTGTACACTGGTGGACCCGTGGCCCTCAAAGCTTGGTTGTATATTAAAATAATGTGAAAAGCTCTTTAAAAGAATGACTTTGGCCTTGTTTGAAGCCACAGCCATTGCAGTTCCCACCCCGCCCCGCCCACGTGTGGAGTAGGGTGCCGCCCTCAGCTTTTACCGGAAGTTTCTTCCATGCTAAGGGGCTGGGTACCTGCCAGGTGATAGGGAGCCTGCTTTCTTAGTCCCCTAGGCAACTAATTGCCACTCCTCTCTTCTTCTCCCCCACCATCCTGTGACCTGGCAGGGTTAAGTTTATCTCTAGACTCTCAGAAAAATAGCCTGGTCCTGAGAGGCCACCCTACAGCACAAATCAAACAGCAATGCGCCAAACAGGGTTCTTACGGGGCTGTGAAGTAGGGCACCCTGCATTCTTGGAATGTTGGAGTACCTAGAGCTAGCAAGCCTCCAACCTCAGGTGACCTTCCTCCTCCATGCTCAGCAGCCCCTGAAGCAACCTGTCTTTAACCAAAACCCTACCACGTGGCTTTCTCCCTTGATGAGTCAAGCGGCCTGGGCATTAATGCCATGCCTAAATCGGGTGCTGGGATGTGAAGCTGCTATTTAATGCTATGTACCCAAGAGCAGGTCAGAGCTCAGCAAGGCAGTGTGATGAAGTGTGCCATCATAACTTTGATAGACAACACTTGCTATGGTCACAAGATGGTATTAAGTTCTCAGAGATAATCCTCTGTGACATATCCAGCTCTCACCTGTGAGGTGAGGCGTTCTCCTAGGAAAGAGAAGTGTCTGATAGCATCCTGAACAAAACCACACTGCAAACATGGGGACCAGTGAAATAAGAAACTTCTGCTAATTAGTTGCAGATGGAATGGAATTCAGAAGTTTAAAAATATTAAGCTCGCTAAAGCTATGATTCAAAACATTTACTTCTTTCCCACCCCAAAGGTTTAAAGTACATTTTATAGAGTCCTCAATACGTTTTATAAAGTCCTTCTTTTGAAATCTCATTACATTTTGTTTGTTTGTCTGATAACTTATTTATTTGCACAGCACACTTGTGGAGGTCAATGAACAAATTTTGGTAGTTGGTTCTCCCCTGTAGGTCTCAGGGGACCAAACCCAGGTCCTCAGGTTTGGTGGGGGCTGCATTTACACATGGAACCATCTCTCAGCACCAGAATATATATTCTGAACTTTGGATGTTTAAAGATCATTTTCAAGTATTTCTGCCCTTCCCAACTTTACTCCCTGAAGTTGGTCATCGAGATGTCTGCAGACTCTTCTCCGTGCACAGGCAACATGCATGCTCACCTTGTGGACATGACAGATGCTGTAGAGACAGTTAAGTGATGAGGTCCTGCTGTTTCTGTGGTCACTGAGCCACAGGTTGTGGGCGTCTCTTCACACCAGTGGAGTTATCACCATCGTGCTGCATGCATCCAGCACAGTGTGTAAGTAAATTCATCTACTATCACAGTGCCCACTCACTCAAGGTGTGGGTTAGCTCCTACTCATTACCAGGAACAATATCTGCTGGTAAAGAGTGTGGATATAAGAGCCACACTGCCAGGACTGAAAACTATACTATTTTATAGCTGTTGTGTCCTTGGGCAAATTCCTTCATTTGTGTCTTAGTGCCCCCTTGCCTGGAAACCCAGGTTGTTCTGCATTTGTGAACAGCAGGTACAACCATAACACTTCATTCAGGCAGTGTCTGCGGCATCTTTTTAAAGTGTCCATTCTGACTGGGGTGTTTGTTGGGTGGGAAGACAGTTAAGTGTGGTACATCTTGGGATGGACCTCTTAGATGAGTAATACCACCATCAAAAAGTATATATTTGATGAAGAAGAGAAGAAACCCTTTATGAATGAGTCACGGGCCTGAGTACTATTCAGAGCTGCTGAGAGAGGCAAAAGACAGTGAACTGCGAAGGAAGAGAGGACTCCTGGATTTGTGGGATAGCCAGAGAGCGGCAGAAGATGGCTGACACGTGGAAGCTGGGACCCAGGACACTGAGCCAGCCTGCACTGGTAAAGAAGAAACAGCCTTGGCTACAGGGTGTGAAAGCACACATGCAATCCCATTGGTAGGGAAGTGAAGACAGGAGGATTGCGAGTTTGTCAGCCAGGGCTACACAGAGAGACCCTGTCAAGAATAAGGAAGGAGCATGGAGAGGGAGGGGGGAAGAAAGGATGGAGGGAAGGAAGGAGAGAAAGGGAAAGAAAATAAGACGGGAGAGGGAAAGGGAAAAAGAACAAGACCCAATTATCCACTGCTCTCTCAATTCCTCTGGCGACCCCTGGTGGCCAGTCACAAACCTGGCTATTTCTTCCTCAACGTTTCTTGCATGACGAACAGCCAATTGCAAGAAGGCATTTTTCTATTCTGTCCATTAGACCTTCTATCCTAGCATAATACAGGACTATGGGCAAAGAAAATAATCCTGTACCTTCACTTGAATGAAGCAAAGTCCATGAAATCGAAACTGGTCCTGACCTGGCCCATCACTTCCCAAGTAGAGATGAATCAGCTACGCTCGTAGACTTTCCATATCTCCAGCCAGAACAAACTCCAGATTTACAGACAGAAACAGGTAATAAGATACAGTAGACATAATTTCTATTTGTACATTACACATATTGCTGAAAGGAAGAGTCAATATGTTGGAAGAAGAGACTAAAGACACCAGTTTCAGTACTTTCAATCAGCATGGTTTTTCTAGTTTCCTTTCTGCTGCTGTTCTGAGCACCATGACCAAAAGCAACTGGGGTAGGAAAGCATTTATTTCCTCTTACAGTTTATAGTCTATCACTAAGGGCAATCAAACCAAGAATTAAAGGAAGGAACTAAATCAATGGCCATGAAGGAATGTTGCTTATTGGCTTGCTCAACCTGTTTTCTTGTACCACCCAAGATCACCTGCCCAAGGGTGGCTCTACCGAAGTGGGCTGAGCCTTCCCACATAAATAATTAATCAAGAAAACACCCCACAGTCCAATCTGATAGATGCAATTCTTCAGTTGTTATTCCCTTTGCCATGGTGATTACTTTGGATCAAGCTGACAAAACTCTAACCAGTTCAGTGATTGTATTTTACATAGATGATTCTACTGAGGTTGCTCTAGGAAATTTAGACAGTTTACCAGGTGTGAGGAAAATATTTTGGTCAGTACCCAATCTGGATACATTTTTTTTCTAACTAACCCTTTCTTCCTATTCCACTAAGAAACACCACTCTCACAAAGAGGATGCAACAGCAAAACCACTGCCAGACTTCAAGCCAGGATGAAAATGGAATGCATGCATTGTAAAACAACGAGGCCTTCTCTGCACTTCTAAGTGGAAAGCCTGGTGGTTTGCTTGCTTGAAGTAATGTGTTCTCTCTTAATTGCAGTCATTAGTGTCCGGAAGAAGGCCGTTACATTCCCCCTAAGTACATTTGAATGGACTCCCACTCGGCCCCACAGATCTTCGC